TAGGGGGTGGGACGGGAACATATTTGGTGGGGTAAAGAAAGTGATCACAACTGATAAGGGCTGATAAAAGGCGCTAGAACGCAAGTGTCGCGAAATTCATAGCTCGGGCACCAGTGGTCGTCAGGAGTTGGTTTCAAGATATGATATAGGGGGTGGGACGGGAACATATTTGGTGGGGTAAAGAAAGTGATCACAACTGATAAGGGCTGATAAAAGGCGCTAGAACGCAAGTGTCGCGAAATTCATAGCTCGGGCACCAGTGGTCGTCAGGAGTTGGTTTCAAGAGTCAGTTTGAACTCGTTTTCAATTTCCTTTAAACAGGAAAAACCGCCCAACTGCTTTCCTCAGGGTAAGTCATGTCTTGCAAAGTTCATTGTCAGTCTATAAAACAAGGAAGAGGTTCTACTCAACTTATGTGACTGATGGCTTTTAAACAACATGATTCTCTTGACATGTAACGCTGCCAGTTTTTTTCTGATGAGCGGAAATTTGACTTTTGTTATAGATTCAAAGTTGTGATAATGTCATTTCTTTTCGTATAAATTGTTCCCAAATTTTCCCTCGAAAAACATAATTTCAATGAACGCCTCCGTCCAAAACAGATTTACCTCGAAGGTGTGCTTTTCGCTCGTACTTTTGCTGGAATTAGTCTGAACTTAAAGCTGGAATGGATGGCCCAGAAAACGAAATAGGCAAACGGCAATAATCTCAAGCTCTATTCCGCATTGAAAAAACCAGTCAATGTCATTCCCATTCCTTGCACAGGAACTAATATCGTTGTATGTGTGCGTTGTGTTCAAAATATCTGCTCAATCAGTTAGCAGCGAAAATTCAAACGTGATGGTGATGAGACTGTAGGTGCATTTCATGGGCATCAAGATGAAACATGGAATGTTTGTAGTGAATATCTGGTAGATGAATTTTATGAGTTCATAAGAACTTCATTAAAGCACTACATCTCTACAAAAATGTCATATTCTTTGGGACAAACTGAAACTCATGCAAAACAAGTGATGCCATTGAGTTCAGCGTGGTTGATTACCTGGAATTGTGAGGCTTCATTCAAAATATCAGCATTTTGGTTCCATGGAGAATTTTGGGTAGATGAGCCGTCCTATGCGACGATTAGCTGCTTGTGGGTCAGCTGACTAATACGCTGTTCACCGATTTCGACATTTTTCAGTACTTGTTCTATCCATTTAAGAGAATTTCCCAAAATTTCTCTGACCACGAATTGAATCAGTATCACGTGGGATTTTATTAGTATCTCAAACTTGGAAAATTGCCTAACTATTCTAAAGCACGTCTATGTACAGACTCCCACACGCACTCCCACACAATCCTCATATTAAGAAGTGAAGGTCGCTTCTGTACACAGAATTGGGATTGGAACAGGTGTTCAAATTCCCCCAGAATCGAGTATTACATGGAATGTATATATACAATAATCTGGGGTTAATTGTGTCATCGCTAAAGACGGTCTTCTTCGACAAATTCAGATGTACTCTTGTGAAACTTCCTGCGATGCATTTATAACTGACTGTTCAGGGATGAGGCTCATTCTACTTCTACTCGTCCTAGCTGTGACAACTCAAGCGGGCTTGCTGGACATCGGTAAAGTGAAAGATTTCTTCAAAGGAGGAAAATACGGCGAGAAAATTAAAAACGCGACACTCTTAAAGTTCAAGAAGGTGAGTGTTGTTGAGAGTTTGTGAGATGGAAAACAGGAACATCAAAAAATACTGATTGTCTGTTCAGTTATTTGAAAAAACCGGCATACTTTCCCTTGGCAGCAAGTTGTCCGAGATGAGAAGCAAGCTGATGAAGAAGCTCGAACTCTCGAAACTCAAGAAAGTAGAAGTTGACCGCAAGATTAAGGTAAGCGCGTCCATATAATATGCAAATTTTGAGATGTCAGACTTACTGACGAGGTTAGCAATTCAGGAAATCTTGGCCAAACGGGATGATACAGTGGAAAAGGCGATTAACACAATATTCGATATCAATGCTGGTAACAACGTCGGCCAACTACTTTACCAAAGTGACATCCTTCTGACAAAGTGGGTCCTTCATATCCTGTTTAACCCTCAAAATTATACTTTCCGGTTTAACCTTCAACATTTCACGAAAAATCACTGTCAGGAAACAAGCAGAAGAGGTCATCGAAAGTATCGAAGGAAAGAACGGTCAAATGAAGAGACAAGCAGTCAATCGTGACTATAATCCTGATAGCATTTGGGTGGACGGAGTCTTTTATAGATTCGACGAGAGCACAGGTCTGCTTGATGTTACAAATACCAAGAAGAACACCTTTGAGTTACTTCATTAGCCGTTGAACGTATAATTTCAGATCCTCGTACCAGAAAAATATTCGAGTTAAGTGCCAAACAATGGGAAAATGCTACATGTATCGATTTTACTGAAGACAAAGAAGAAAAAGGTTGCATAGAAAAGTGTTGCCAATGAGATTACGATCAGTTTTTATTATAGAGCCCCATTTCATATCGGTGGTCAAAAGTGAAGGCTGTTTCTCAGAAATAGGACGAGTTGGCTTTGACCAGTGGCTTTCACTTGGTCAAGGTTGTGACCAGGTAAAGCAATTCCAGTCATGCACAGTTTTACGTGATGATATTTCAAAAATTATTGAAGACTATAAGACATGGGTCAGCGTGCTTGTACCTTCTTGGCAATTACTTTAGATAGGAATTGCTACGCACGAGATTGGTCATGCACTGGGACTTTTCCATACCATGTCACGCTATGATCGAGATGACTTCATAACAGTCGTCATCGATAATGTTGTAGTAAGTCATCACATGCACACTAAATCAAACAAAACCATAGAACGTAAGTAAATCGTCTCAGGATAATTTTGTGGATCAATACATCCACACAGACCGAGGAAACAAGTGATAACTACGGCCTCACTTACGATTATGGTAGTATTATGCACTATGGGGCATCCAGGTAGACAAAAAAATAACACCTACCAGAGCTGAAGTAATATGCTTGATGATTTCAGTGCTACATTCAGTCGCAACGGTGAACCTACAATGATAGCAAATGACACATTGTACCAAAAAACAATGGGCTCGTATATCCTTTCGTTCCTTGACAAGTCCCTGATCAACGAGCATTACGAGTGCAAAGGTACACATAACGCCAAAATGACTGCTACTCAAAAACTGCTAAAAATGTTGCTATTTAGCAAAGTGTCCGCAAGAGACCTCAGCCCCGTGCCAGAATGGAGGATTCCCTCACCCACGAAAATGCTCAGAATGTATCTGTCCAAGTGGTTACGGCGGTGCTCTTTGCAATGAAAGAGTAGGGCAAAGATGTGATAGTTGAGTAAGTCGGCAGTGAAGACTTTTTTCAGCCAGCCGGATGTGGACAAACTTTGACAGCGACGGATAAGAAGCAATTCCTAATCAATAAACTCGGTCACGGACAGGTCCCGTCCGATATGCGCGATGACTACCTATTCTGCAATTACTGGATTGAAGTATGATCTACCGTCCATTCGCCTTCTTGTGTAAAATGGAACACCTTTCAGGCTCCTAAAGGAAAAAGAATTGAAGTTAAGATCAACGCGATTTCACACGGCTATGATCACGACGGCTGCGTTTTAGGGGGTGTTGAAATTAAGTCCAGTGCGGACCAAACGCGAACTGGCTACAGGTGAGTTCATTTTCAGAATCACAGCCTCAAATGATAATTTCACTTTTGCAGATTCTGCTCAACCAAGGATAAAAATACAGTTCTTGTTTCGGCCACAAATCGTATGCCTGTGATCATGTTCAATAGATCCGGTGAACAGCAAATCATTCTAGAGTACAAAATCGTATCATGATTGGATAGCATTCTCCTCACGAATAAATGCAAGACAATACCCCGAGTGTTTTCCTCGAAAATATGTCATGATAGGTAGAATAAGTAACAATCACTACAAAGGTATTATTGTCAAAGGACACGCCGGCTTCACGAGATCAGCTGTAGGTAGAGGAGAGAACACTATTTGTTGACCGGAGTCTGGAGAGCACCTTGCAGTAGGGCAATCATGCACGCAAAAAACCCTAATGAAAGGGGTTCAGACGCAAGTTTGGTGTTGGAGTGGTTTCCTAGGTTCCAGAGTTCGTGGCGCAGTGAACAGAGCCTCAGTGGCTCAGTAATTTCACGTTAATGGCACAGAGTAGGGAAACTTCGTGGGTCAGTGCTTCAACCTTAAGAACCAAGAGAAGGAAGCCTTAGGCTCGGTGATTTGGCTCTAGTGGCCGGTTGAGAAGAGCATTTATGGCTTAAAGGCAAAGGTCGGGCTCAGATACGCTAGAGAAGCAATTCCCGTACCTGGAGGTTGTACGTGGGTAACTTCCCACCTTGAAAAACGTCGTTAAGCCCCCGGGGCCGTCGGTTTCAATCCGGGGCCGCCTCGTCAATCCGGGACCGCTCCCGTCCGGAAGTGGTGCGTGGCTGGCATAACGTGTAAAACAGCTAGGTTGATTGCCGTATCAACCGATAGAACGACTGACATCTCCAGAAAACTTGTTTGTACGTGCCTCTTCCCCAAGCCAGCCTCCTTCACTGCTAGTGGGAAAGAGGGTTTTGTTAACGGCCTTGTCTACGGTTTTTCTCAGTTTTTTCCACTGTCGTTCCACTTCGCATATCTATACTCAGTTTCAATCGCCATAAACCCCCTTATTGAGCTCGACTTTTGCCTTTAACATACGATAGATATTCAACCGTAGTTCCATTTACATGTTCAAGTGCGTATGTGAAAAGGAGCGACTTGGTCACCAAAACACGGAAAAGGACGTCTTGAATGAGAAGTCGGAAAGCAGAAACGCAGAAAAGTTTGTCTTCAGACTGGTCAAAGCCCAGCACCGGGCTACCCAAGATATGAGGGTGGTAAAGAGCGCGAAGAGCAGCAGCGGCCTCATCCTGAGGAAGCTAGCCGTGGAGGTGGGAAGAGTACTTTAAATATCTTCTGAACGAGGAGATTTCCTACAAGAACAACTCACGGGCAGGGGCCACAGTCGGTCCCATCGCCCTCTGAACAGAGGATGAGATTCGGTGGGCGCTTGCGAAGAAAATATGAAAGTCAGTTGGTCCAGATGGAGTTCCCATAGAGGCTTGGAGGGCCGAGCCAACCGTCGAGGAAAATTTGGAAATACGACCCCCCCCCATCCCCTCTCCCCCAGAGGCCGAAGTTCATTGAACAACCCTCTTCAAAAGCCGAAGTATAATGAAAAGGTTCTTCAATTCTCCGCCAAAAATATTCATGAAAAAAGTCCTGCCACCCCCTCCCGTCCAGCGAAAAATTCGTTTAAGAAGTACAAAAGTGGAAAGTAGTCCAGCTTTGTATTGACACGGATCAGCGCGTTCACTACGTATAAATAAATAAATAAATAAATAAATAAATAAATAAATAAATAAATAAATAAAAAGTCAAAGAATGATTATTGGTGAGCCCTACCAAACAAGCAAACGAGATAAGGAGCAAAAAACGACAAACTACAGACTAGCCGCTTGAAATCGAAAATTCACGCGAATAACGCGAATCCTCGTTAATTTCGTGAATTCGTATATAACTCGCTTCAAAATTGAGCCTTCGAGAATCCGAAGATATCTTTGAATTCAGCTCGTCAGACACTATAAGGATTATCTTTGATACTTTGGAAACCACGGATCTCTTTCACTGAGGGTCCTCTCTCACTGAAAGATCTCGAGCCGGTTGGTGGCGAGGCTACGTGGCGCGACCCCAGGTGGCGGATAGGGGGTAAATCGCGGACCAAAAGCCACCATGTACTTGCCCTGAGACGCAGGTGGATTCAGGGGATGGACTCCCTGTTTCTGTAGTGCTGTGTTGATTCATACCAGCTGTCTCCACTCAGGCGCATCCATGCATGCTTGCGTGTGTGGTGCGCTCTGTGTGTGTGCGGTTGGTATCCTGCATGTCGGCACAGCCAAAAGCTTGCATTCAAGTGACTGGGAAGTACATGGGAGGCGATTCGGGGCCGCCTCCAAAAAATAAGCCCCTTGTTCCGCTCCAGGATAGCGTGGCTAACTACCTGGAGGTCTATCCTAGCCCGCACGACAGAGCCTGGCAAGCTACTCGTGTGCCTTCAATATGCCGAAAACAGCAATATGGATGGGCCTCATTCCCCTGAACCTGAGGGAGCCCCCAATACGGCAGCGTTGGGTAGGACCGCTCGGGAGAGGCTGCTAGAATCTCAGGGCCCGGATAGGCTGCCTAAACGAAGAAATCGGACGTTTGAGGTTGAGAAGATGTGGTTCAACTCCTGCTTTGACAATCTTCGTCGCCTACGCACCAACATCGAGCTACGACGAGGAGGAACACGAAGCATTTTATATGGAATTGGAGAAGTTCTACAAGGAAGATCATACCTTCTTCAAGGTCATCGTCGGCGACTTCAACGCCAAGATTGGCCCGAGAAGAACGGCTGAAGAACTTCACATCGGTACTCACGGAATGGATTGGAATGAGCAGGGCGAAAGACTGTCTGAGTTTATCATGTCGACCAACACCATCCATGGTAACTCGCAGTTCCAGAAGCCCTCTCACCTTCGCTGGACTTGGGAGTCACCTGATGGACAGTTCCATAACGAGATAGACCACATCATCTTCAATCGAAGGTTTTGCCTGACCGACGTCGCTGTTGTTCCAAAGTTCTACACGGGATCGGACCATCGTCTCCTCCGCGCAAGATTCCACTTCTCGATGCGTGTTGAGAGAGCAGCAAAGTTCAGGAAGCGAAGTCCCAGGACAGTCATCAACTGGGACCACTTCGCTTCCCTCGTCAGCTTATGGGAGGATTCCGTCATCGAAAACATCGACGAGGAGTACTATCGGCTCGTTGAACATCTTCACGATTGTGGCAAGAAGGCAGAGAGTGAAAATCACCAAGGGACGTCTGTCTCCAGAAACCTCCGAAACTATGACCAGCGTGGAGCCGCACGAGCTGCAGGCAATCACCGACTCACGTCCGAGCTTGCGAAGCCATGCAGAGAGGCGATAAAGGAAGGTCTCAAGGAGCGAAGAGCAGCAGTATTGGCAATGGAGAAAGTCATCCACGACTTCTACTCGGATCTCTTCGATAGCCATGTCCATCTGCCTACTTATCAACCGCAAGAGGATGGATACGTTGTCCCTTCAGTTCTCTCTTCCGAAGTCCGACACGCCATCAAGTCGGTGAAGAATTGTACAGCGCCCGGTCTCGACAGGGTTAAACCGGAACATCTGAAGAACGCACCGCCAGTTATCATCAGAACTCTGGCTCGACTCTTCACGCGCTACCTGTCGGAATGCAAGGTACCCACTCCGTGGAAAACCAGCAGGACCGTGTTGCTGTACAAGAAGGGAGACTTGGACGACATTGGCAACTATCGCCCAATCTGCCTGCTGTCTGTAATCTACAAGCTATTCACTCGAGTCATCCTTAACAGGATCGGCAGAATACTAGATGAAGGACAGCCATGCGAGCAAGCAGGGTTCCGAAGAGGGTTCAGCACGATCGACCATATCCACACGGTTACGAGACTCATTGAGATTCTTCGTAAGCTCTACAGCAACTTTACGACCAGGATCTCACCATTCTACAAGGAGGTCATCATCGACGTCAAGAGAGGGGTCCGACAGGGCGACACC